TTATGTTATATCTACCAAAGAATCGAACYCACGACCTCAAAATTGCATAAGTGGCTMAAAATTACCAAGTCAAAAATTTGTATGAGAGACTTGAARATTCAAGTCTGGGAGGAGGGGGAAAAGTTTTCCCCCTGTCAAGTCACCCCCTATACCCTACCCTACCCTTAATCGGTTTTAGTTTGATCATAATAGATATACCTACAGTATATTTCATATGTTATGGACACCCCCTCCTCGAACAGGTACTATTGTGTTATCTCATACCAATTTGGGACTATGTTCTGGTTCACTTCCAAATATAGTAGTAACCTTTTATTGCAACATTTCCATTTATAAGTATCTTTCCAAAAAAGGATTTAATTTATCCCAATCAAACAAACAGTTTTTTGGTTGAAGTAATGAACATGTCCATTATTTATGCAATGGAAATGAATGAATGTGTTCAAACATCAAACATTAAGTTGGAAGAGATATAATATTATTTATGTAGATAACTATCAATCATGTCATTAACAGAAGCAGAGAGAGCAAGAATAGTTGCAGCCAAGACGAGAGGATATTCAAAGAATTTAATATCAAAGATGTTTGATGTTTCCCGATCAACAGTGAGCAGGACTATTCAGCGACACGGAGAGCGAGGAGACTTCAAGGACCGCGTCAAATCGGGACGCCCTTCAAAGTTTTCTCGAAGACTTAGGAGGAGGATCATTAGAGCTTTGGTTAGGAAAGAGGTAATCAGTCTGGAGGAGTTGAAAGCCAAACTTGAAGAGAGATACGAAACAAACATTTCAACGGCTCAAATATCACGTATTGCCGCAAAGGAAGGCCTCACCTATCGCAGTTTAAGCAGGAAGCACGATCTAAAGCAAGACAACGCCGATCAAAGACTTGAGTTCGCATTGGCTCATCGAGACTGGACGGTTTAGCAATGGGAGGAGATAGTATTCTGTGATGAGACCACAATTGAGTCCAACTTCAAGAACTATCGTCAGTACGAGTGGGCCAGACAAGATAACAATACATTCAGCCTTGTTCATGGCATGAGGAGGCTTCCCGGATCCAAGGTCAACCTATGGGGTTGTGTCACCAGTGCTGGAGTGGGATTACTGTCAGAGATCGAAGGCAATTTAGAACAAGCTCAATACACGGAGATAATTGACAACGCATAGACTGATTCCATCGATCATTATCATGGTCAGCTCCCCAATTTCACACTGGCGATGGACAACTGTCCAATTCACAGAGCTACCAGTGTCACCACTCACTTGAGGAGGAGGAGGATTCCAACCTTATTCATTCCTCCATATTCACCAGACATCAACATCATAGAGAATCTTTGGGCGATCTTGAAGAAGAGAGTAAAGAGAGAGCTTGCAAAGGCCTCTAGAACAGACTTGTCGGAACTTGCAACCGAACAATGGGAGCATATTGATGACCGCATTGTGAGAACCTCTATGCATCATTGCCTCAACGAATGGAGGATATCATAACAGCTGATGGATGGTGGACCAAGTATTGACAATTGCCAATACCACCAAGAATGTTCTTCGTTGGAACTTAGTCAAACAAAATTCGTTTCATATATAATGGCCATGTTCATTACTTTTTATTTCAACACAATCAATCAATTATTTATAAATAAATACAGCCAACAATTAATAATTAAATATTATTTTGTTGATCTATTACTCTATTACTTAGAGACAATAAATCGTAAATATAAACCTTAATTTTGAAGAGATATAGTTTATCTATCAGTTCGATCAGGGGGTGTCCATAACTTATGAAATATACTGTATATAGACTAAAAAGTTTGATGCGAGTCCATTAACAAATATCCAATAAGGGCTATCATATTGAATAGAATAGTCTAAAGATCAAATCTAATATTTAAAAATAATATTTTCAATTTTATAAAGTTATTTTTCTTCAAGAGAAAGTTTGTATGGGATGGAAGTTCGAACACATATACTTTTTTCAAACAGTTAAAACTAATAGATACAAATATCCCTCTAACAATACTGCTATCAGATATACCTACCATAATCATTTAACATATTATATCATTCTTTACACTTGTCTAAACAACATATTGGAAAAACAAATAAATATTAATAAACAATAATTAATTTTAATGAAAATTTCACAGTTGTTTGAATCACTTTGACAATGACTCAATAGACAAGTCATTAACAACTATGATACATATAACATTAGTACAAATACATACAGACAGTGGATAATTTGATTAAACAATAACATTGAAGCTTATACATCAACATCATCCACTTTATGACATCCAGATTTACAACAACAACAACTGATGAAGGTCGATCTATCAACTCCTGACAATGTCATTCAACACCTCAACATAATATATAGTTACTCCTCTTATCAACGCGAATCGATCAAGTTATCAATCATCGTCATTGAACAACATCACACCTGACATCATGCATGCATGCCTTTCGAATGCGTCTCGACACAACGATGATGCACCAACAATGTTCAACACATACGTTTGATACACCAACAGATTCAGTACATCTACAGGAATCGATCTATATATAATATGTGACTGTTGAACCTATTCTTACAAAGTAGAGCTTGCAGAGACATCATTTCCCATTACACGCGCCAAGAGTCGCACTCCAACTGCCACCAACATCTCGATAACACCTACAATTGACATACCAACAGACTCAGCACATCAAGGTGAATCGATAGATATATTGTACATCACTTCTGAAGCTATTCTTTAGCAACACATTCAACAACAGCCAGGATACACTCACATTGTGGCATCAACTACGATCGTCGCACTCCACTGATCACCAACATCGTCCAACAAACACCTATGACACATCATCAGACTTGACCTATCAAGAAGAAGCGATACATACTATATTCATTGTTGTTACTACTTCAACAATGAGTAATCCACATCAACTTGTCGAATCTTCATTCAACTACACAGGTAACAACCAAAACCTTGGGCAGATCGTCGCACTTCTACTTCTAACAATAACTAATACCAATCAAGATTATAGTATAGAAATACTCAACACATCAAGATGAAGCGATCAATATATTACTAATCACTGTTGTAGTGATTCATAGGAATTACAGTCTTGGACAGCCACGCAACGACGACCATTTACAGCTAACTTGGATCGTCGCACACCAACCAAGGACCTACATCATCCAACAACTCCTATGATACTCAAACAGACTCGACTCATCAAGATGAAGCGATATATACCACAATCATTGCCGTTCATCGTAATCTATATTAACTTGGATCATCAACATCACGCCTTGTTCGATCTCATCAGCGTCGTCTTGCCATCTACCATGCGATGGAAGTTGAGAACAACACAACACACCCTCTCTAGTGCACTAAAAGAGTGAGTATCGAGTAGCATATATGACCAAGGAATCATACCTTTCACTCTTGACACTCACTCACTCATACCAACTCAACCTTCCACTTCATCTGTAGCGAATGGTCATGTTTTCACAACACTGATGCCAGGACGGTCCAGGCCCTTCTGCCAATCAAGGTGGATAAGGTGACCTGTACGATTTAGACAACACACACAGTCAACTCTCTGATCCTTGTGTTCTCAGCCAAAGAACAAGGTACCAGAGCCACTCATACTCATGACCCTGTTTCGACAACAATGTGCCAGCTATATTCCTCATCTCCCTTGGCTACTCAAATCAATTAACGTGGCCCGACATGTCTGGAAAGGTCTATGTGTCAACGTACTATCCACAAAGTCATCTACACAGGACTGCTCAATACAAAGTCTCTGGCTATGTCTCACACTGGTTGGCGTCCCTCCGTCATGGTTGGGCTCGTCATGGCTGCTGTCGGTCTCTGTGGCCAGAATCAGTGCCAAACTCAAGGAGAAGGAGCAGGACGACGACATGGACGATGACCTCAACAACAACATAAAGGATGCTTTGGACAACTCAAGCATGTAGGTGTACGTCAGCAAGCTTTGGAAGTACGAGCAGCCCACCAACCGACCTATGCGAGCGACTTCTTATGATCCTTATGCCCACACCCGTCACCAAGCCACAGTCGTCCGGACAGTCAGATCTGTCTGCGTCGAACCAAGCCCAACAGAGTGAAACCAAACGATATACTGTGTACGAAGAAAACAACCGTAAAATCCTCTACTACCGAGACCAAGATCACTCCGACAGCAGCAAAGTCCCATAGGGTCATCTCTCTCTGAGATTGTGGCACCCCACGACCCAGCATAATTGACTACGCCTTCCTTGATAGGCTCAAGTTCTTGTATAGATGAAGCAAAAGATCACATCACATGAACAGGCCAATCTGGACACCTTCCTCCGGGGAGTACGCCCAAGCACCAAGACGTTACCAGCTCCAACAGTGATCAACTATCAAGGAGACAATCACGTGGTCAAGGAAGAACAGTTCTCGATGCATCGAGTCACTTGGATCAACAAGGAGTACATCCAATTTTTGGAAATGATAAGAAGGAATCATCCTGGTTACCTCGATCGATCTTGGATCAGCATATGACGATAGGTCGCATCCTCCATCGATTGCCGTGCGGTCCAAGACCACAACTCCAACCAAAGCCCAAGACATATCAGCCTAGTGGATATGGCAGAGAGTTATGAAAATGGCGACCAGCACTAGACCTGGAGAGGTAACGATCTGGCATCACCATCACAGAGCGCATGGAACATCAAGCAGTAATGGGCATCTCCACAAAGTCTTGTCGCCCACCCATAAACTACCAAACAAACTTTCTCATTTATTCATTAGTTACTTGGTTACCAAACAAATATAAATTTGAAATGACATTGGCATACTTTCATAGTCGTGTAGCCACATTTATCTCGTGGGTCGGCGCCTCTATAACAACCCCGGCCTATCTAATTAATGCATTGCCAACATCTAGAGAGACTCGAATTGCAGTACGAGCACGGCAATGATGTCCAAGAGGCAGAGATGTTCACACTTGACCAGGGAGAACTTGCCCAACCTCAAGCATCTGACGCTGCAGTGCTGTCACGGTCGCCGGCATGATTTCGGCGAGGTCGCCGCCTACTGCACCACGCTGTACTTCTGCTTCGATGAGCAGGATCTCAGTTGCATTCCCAAACATACGTGTCTTCCAACAGTGGAGACATGGCGCCTATCAAAACACATACGTTCATCAGCAATCATGTGATATTCAGATTGGCTAACGCAACCAAGCCCTACAAAGACCTCTACGGCATATTCAGCATTCCAGCCAAACAATTTGGCTGACACCAAACATCTATAGTCTTGAACACCCTCTCTAGTGCACTAAATAACGTGAGTATTGAGTAGCATCTATGGTCAATGAATCATACCATTCATTCTTAACACTCAGAAACGAGACTTGTCTTTCATGTTGAGTCTCAAAGATAACAGATGACTTGGTCATTCTATCTCTCTCTTGTACTTTAAGAATTTAGAAATTGATCTAAACTACTTCCTTGTCAGTCAGTGTGGAAGTAGTAAACTTTTGAAGTGTTATTGATAAATGTCGCTTTGTAAACTTAGTACAGTAGCGCGAGTATAGTGACCTACTGGCCAATCAGATCTGGTTGTTGAGTAGTGTGCCACCAGATGAAGTTGTCCATGGCTGATTGATTTGTTGAGTGTAAACTCGATGAGCGACTTTGGCATGTGAAAAGTGTCAAATAGGAGCAGTAAGCATTCGTACCAGTTGTTTTGGACGCACTTGGCCAAGGACTTGAGAATATGAGTGTGGCTGCCACCCACTAGACTCTGATGGATCTCCTCCCATCTCGTCTGCTCTGTTCCAGCTGCAAACTGTCGCTCATATTGGATGATCAAGTAAAGAATATCGTGACTGCCAGAGAATAATAAATCAATGATTAGGTTTGCAATGTTATTGGGTGTGCAGTGATGTTCAATTTGACCAATCGAGAGTAGGAACTCAAAGACCTGTATATGAGAACCAGTGGCCGCACCAGAGTAGGCTTCGAATGTGCAGCATTCAGTTCGATTGTGATATAAGTAGGTGACAACATTCAAATGTCCATTGGAAGCTGATTTTTCCATTGCTTCGGTGGTGTTGGCATCTGTTCGGTGTGTTGTCAGATACTCCACTGTCTCCAGGACTCCTTCGGTTGACGCTTTGATTATTGTTTGTGAGACTTCAGACGAGGACACAAATGGCTGATTGAGGAGAAGACGAATAATATCCAAGTGTTTGTACCCAAATGACATCGTGTGCGATGGGACGTGCTGCGGTTTGTGATTAAGGAGAAGTTGGAGTATCTCGATCTTGCCATGCATAGCCAAATCGGGGAAGACATCCCAAGTGTAGAGGCATATTTGGGGGTACTTGTTGCACAGTGGCTGAACCATCTCAAAATAATTGTTTGTGATAGCCGTGTCGATTGGATAGACACGTATATTTGATCGGTATACAGGATTGATGATGTCGCTGTCCAGGAGTCCTTGAAGCAAATCCAAGGCGTCCTTATGCTCATGGCCCATATTCCATATACATGTTGCCAAGTCGTCCAAAGTGAAGGGGCGATGTTGCGCTGGCACGCTTTCAATGATGAATGCTCTGACTTCATCGTTGAGCAGGTACTGAAATGAGCAATCTCTGAAATCGTTATCGATGGCAAATGCATTTGGATGATTAGCGATAAAGTTGCGCGCCATCGATGCAGTAGCATTAGGAGAAAGTAATGTTGATGAGATGACAGCACTGAGAATTTGATCACATTCGACACATGTTAGTTGCTGTTGCTGACATAAATGGTTGTCCAAGAGTTGAAACATCTCAATGCGACCAGACTGAATCAGTGCTTTGAGCAATGACCTTCCATCTAATGCAAATTTGATGTTTGGATGAGAGATCAGGCGTTGTATGAGCTCGATCGATTGTATCGACTGGTCAATCGTGTGGACCCAACACTCTCTCTCGTTGGTATCATCACAGTGATCCAATAGGTACAAGACTATATCTAAATTGCCTTGTGACAAAGCTTCTGTAATCGCAACCATTCCAACGATGAACGGTGTTCCCAGTTGTACACACTCGGCGTGGACGTATTGCACCAGTTGAAAGTCTCCATTGATCACGGCATTGACGACAATGTCCTTGGTGCTAATGCCAACATTATCTACCTTCCTCTTCAATGCCACAAAGGTGAGGTAGTTGGTAAGGGAGCGACAGACAACGGGTGCGAGACTGCCATCTTGAAGGAGCTCTGGCATTGTTCGATTGATGCTCTCGAGCAGATCCATACTGAAATAGTGCAGCAATGTTGACTGTACGATCTGGATGACATTTGTGTGATCGATGCAGTGGAAGAGCAGCCCAACAGAGGTGATGAACTCCAGTGCACTCTCGGTCGAGCTAATCGACTTGATGAACTGTTTCGATATTTCCCAGTGGATGATATCAAGGGACGAGAAGTGGAACAGGTGGATGTGGCCCATTAGGCAGTTGAACATCTTGAAGTCGACCAGTGTACTCCATTTGATTTTGGTGATATCGATGAGATACTTGCCCCGTGCAACGCGATCACAGGTGCAGTTGATCAGAACATAGGAGAGGAACTCGGTGTCATTGCTGGCCAACGTTGCATTGAGTGCATCGGTCGTCAGAACGTTGTGATGTTCATTGTTCATCTTGATGTTGTAATCAAAGAGCACTTGGAATATCTGACGATTCTGGTGCTTGACAGCAAGCATCAACAGGTTGTTCAATGATCCTGTCTCCTTATCCAGTGCATCCAGGTATCTATACAACAGCAGTTTCGCAGTCCTCTCCTGATCGTATTGATCCTGTATCATCTTGATTCTTGGTAGGTTCAGTTTTCTGGGCTGCAACTTCAAGAAGATGCCTCTGCTAGGTGCCTCAATTGTCGTATCCACACTCAATAGAGCTGATGATGGTGGTGATGACAAAGATCTCTCCTCAATGACACCAGCAAGCTCATCAAAAAGCTTAATAAACAATGCAGTCCTGCCATGGATGACACAGGCTGAAAGCGATCTCTGAGCTCCAACCTGTATATCTCTACGTTGTTCAAAGATCTGTCTCCTGATCATTGCGATCCTGAACACTGTCAGGAATGACACACTAGCTTGCTGTTGATGATGTTGAAGATGCATGCCAGTATTATTGGTATTGAGACAAATAACTACTATGATGCAGGTGTGAGTTTCACCAACCTTTTAAACATCAGAATCTGATCGACTGAACTCCAGATAAATATCTCCTCATGGTCAAGCAATTCAATGCTCCCATTACCAACAAGCTGGTGTACTGGTCATTGTGGTTGTGATGGGCCACGATACGGTGGAAAAGGAGGTCGACCTGAGAGATGTCAGTGTAGCAGCTCATAGTTAAGTATCATTGCTGTTGTTGTGGAAGGAAAGGAACGAAAATTGATATTAACTTATAGTAATTCTTTAATTTGTTTGATCAATCAATATGGGACTTTAGAATCCACCGTATTGATTATAGTTGTTGTATCCTTGCTGTTGCTGTGGAACAAACTGTTGTGGGTTGTTGTACATCATGCCGGTGGCAGGGGGCAGTGCCAGCATTCCTCCGGTGGCGGCATAGCCGTAGCCAATGTTGTTGAGATCGGGCTGGTAGGTGGTAGCCTCAATGTGCTGCTGCTCCTTCTCCTCCTCCAGCTTCTTTTGGCGCGCGCGCAAGTCATCCATGAGCGTGCCGACGTTGGTGTTGATCTCCTTGACGTACTGGATCAGGAAGGGGAAGGCGTGGTTGATGATGTTGTGTCTCCAGGCGAGCTCGAGGACCACGTCTGGCTTGACCAGGTCGTAGCATGTGAACAGACAGGCAGAGAAGGCAGCGTTGTTGCCCTGCTCCACAAAGAAGTTGAGCAGCTCCTCGGCCAGGGCGGGGTTTCTCGAGTCGGCGGCCGATTGCATTGCGTCCTTGTACAGACGATCCTTCTTGGATAACTCGAGTGACTGTGCCCAGCGGTTGTTCTTCTTGTAGAGATAGGCGGCAATGCGACGGAACTCAAGGAGCTCGTGCTTCTCGAGCTTCTGAGCGAGGGCTATAGTGCCAAAATTGGCGTTGGCATCGATTGATGCGCGCAGAGCCTCGTAGTCCTCCTCCTCGACGTAGAGCTCGTTCAAAGCCTCGTTGATCGAGACAACGTTCTGCTCCTGGGCCGATACAAGCCATGGCTTGACGAGGGGCAGATGGCCCAACGAACGGATGAGGGTCACGGCACGAGAGTGCTCAATTCTTGATGACATGACGGCCAGCAGGTCGTTGATGAGCAGGGGTTGCTCCTCCAGATAGAACTGGATGGCGTTGAAGTAGAGCTCCACCTTGGCCACCTTGGGGATGGTCTCCTTGAACAGGATGTGGTCCCATGCTTCAATGGAGTGGGCCATCATCGTGTTGATGGCATTGTCGTGCTCGTCGTAGTGGATGTAGAGGTAGGTGAGCTCTGACCACTGCTGGTTGGCCTGGCAGGCCTTGATCACCTTGGGCACGTTGAGACGGGCGTAGTACAGCTTGATGTGCTCCATCAACTTCTCCTCCTTGTAGCGTGAGTAGAGAACGGCGAGCTCGGTGAACATGCCGACGTGGGCACGGTCGCTGGCCAGACCAGACTCGAGCAGGGCGATCAGCTCGTTGAAGTATCCACGGTCCTCGTACTGCTTGATGAGCTCCTCAAGCTCATCACCGTGCACGATGATCTGGATGCCACACACTTGGGCCAGACGGAACTCGCGAGCGTCGATACAGGCTGCGCTTACCTCCTTCCAGGTCTTGGTGCTGTTGGCCTTGCGGGCCGAGTCAACGGCAGCCTGGTACTGACCGAGCTTGACGAGACACGATGTGAGACGCGAGAAGTTGGAGATGTTGGTGAAGAGGATCTTGGCAGCCTCGTAGAGGCCGGCGTCGTAACAACGGTCTCCGACTACCTGGATGTGAGCGCTGTTAGGCGAATTGATAAAGTCCTCCATCTCGACCAGCTTGTCGACCTTGGCGAACGAGAAGATGAGCTCCGACTCGATCACGGGCTCCTTGATCTTCTTGCGGCACATCTGGAGGTATTTAACCAGCTCCTCGTAGCAATTGGCGCGCTCGGCGGCCTGGATCACCTCGTGGTAGTTGTCCACATGGTTGGCCTTGATGAACGACTCAATGCACTCCTTGACCATGTTGGCCTTGAGCTGGGCATCTCCGAGCTTCGAGTACACCTCAATCTGGTTGACGCGGTCGGCAAAGTCGTAGGCACGCTCAATGGAGCCAATGTGGTTGATGAGCACCTCTATGGCCTCCACGTTGAACTGGAACTTCTTGTAGATGAAGAAGGCCTCCTCATAGAGGCCGGCCTCGATGGCCACAAGAGCAATACGGTTGCCCTCAAAGTTCTCCAACTTATTGATGTAGTCCATGACACGCGACTTGTCAGCGCGGATGGCCGTGAGGATGAGCAGGTTCTGCAGCTCCGTGGCCGTCTTGAACTCCTTACCCTCAATGACAATCTTCTCCAGCAGCTCAATCAGCTCATTTGGCAGGTTGGCGTCCATGAATGCCTGCACGGTGGTGCTGACCTCGATGGCGTTGGTCGACTCGGGCAGGGCAGTCTGAACGACCTGGTCGATGAGCGAACGCTTGTACTCGTTCTGGTCAGAGAGCACGTAGGCCCAAAGGTCAGTGTCCTGACGCTCGACCAGGTAACGGGCTTGGTTTTTGAAGAGGGCATTCTTGTTGGTCACCTCAATCAGCTCGTAGTCGCAGAGACCGCGCTTGTACGTGACAAAGGCCAAGTATGGGTCGCGCTTTTCGCAGTACTTTCCGACGACCTTGCTGTCGTAGAACTGGTTATGGATGAGGAAGGCCTCTGGGTTCTTGTTGCTATCGATGTAGATCTTGGCCAACGCGTTGTGAACGGCGGGCTCGATCGAGCCCTCGCTGACACGGGCCTCCAACCAAGGCAGCAACAGCTTGAGACGGTTGCGTTTCTCGACCTGCTCGACAAGGGTGTCGGCGGGACACATGTTCCTGACGCTCGAAATCAGGTTTCTGAGGTAGTCCTCCTGGCAGTCGAGGTCGAGCAGTGCACCAACGACCAATGGTGTGTTGACTGGGTTAATCTTTTGCACGTAGGCCTCGATGTACTTGTTCAAGTTGTTCTTGTAGAGGTAGTTGGTGAGATCCGAGATGAACTGGTAGCGGTCGCACACGATGATCAGTGGCAGCTGATCTGGCAGCTTGGCCTCCTTGAGGAAGTCGCGTGTCTTCTCTGGGTCATAATAGTTGCTGTCGCGACACATTCTCTCGACCTCCTTGTACTGGCCACTCTTAGCGGCAGCCTCGATGTACTTGAAGTGCACCTCTGGCGACTGGCTGGTGACGACGATCTGTGTCAAGTAGAGGTAGAGTCCCTCAAACAGACGGAAGTTCTCAAACATGCCAATAACAGTGTCCGATGTCATGGTCTGCTCGTCTGTGTAACGGATGGCGATGGCCACCACCAACTGCAGGTATTGGCGTGGGTTGGTGCGCAGGAAGTCGCGCATACACTCCATGCGGTCCTCGGGGTTTATCGTGCCAAAGTAGTTGACAAGGAACTCCTGGTTGACCATGGAGCCAGCAGTGTTGAGCACACGCTTGATGTCGCTCAGCTCGGTGTAGTGCTCAAGTGCGCGCTGGTACAGACCGGCCTTCTCACAAAGGTTTCCTATGCGGATACGGTTGTAGTGGGTGAAACGCTGGCTGCCCATGATGGCGTCGGCGTTCTGGGGTGCGTGGATAAGGTTGAGCTCGAGCAGCTTGGTCTGGAGGTTGGCATCGCTTGGGTTGTTCTCTGTGAGCACAGAGAACAGGAAGTTGGAGGTCTCCTGGATCATGTTGCGTGCGCTGAACAACTCAACGACGGCCATTGGGTCGACGAATGGGCCGTTCTCAACCTTGACGAGCTTGATGGCAAACTCGGTGGCACCAGCAGGGTTGATTGGTGCTAGACGCGACAGCAGGAACATGTAGTCGGGCGAGTAGTTGATCTTCATGCAGTAAGCAATGATCTTGTCGTACTCGCCAGCTTCGGCAAACAATGCGATGGCCTTGTCTGATGCGTTGGCGCGGTAGTAGATGGAGAGTGCGAGCTTGCGGTCATGGGGACGCACCTCATCACCGAGTTGCTCGGAGCACTCCAACTTGTCGTCGGTGAGCCACTTCTCCAAGATGTTCTTCTTGCCCTGTTGCAGAACGGGGCGCACCAGCTCGAGCGACTCGATCTGGTTGAGCTTGCCCTTCTCGAGAAGCATACCAAAGTATTGCAGGAGGGGGGATGGCTGGTTGGCAACGCCCTGGATAGCCTGGAAGCGCTGAATGGTCTGCTGGTTCCTCAGGATGGTGCCGGGCGAGTCAGCAGCGACCTTGGCGGCTTCCTTGTAGAGGCCTTGCTGGAACAGACGCTCAAACTGGCCTTTCAGAAGATTGTCGGCGCCTGGCAGGTTGTTCTTGCTGGCCATCGAGATGGCGAGGTCAAAGTTGTTCAACGTGTTGCAGATGTAGGGGATGATGTTGTTGTCGTCGATCGACACGGACAGAACCTGACCCTTGCGGTTCACACAGATGATGCCGTTAGTGCTGTCCTGGAACGACGTGACAAAGATGTTCTCCGAGCTGATACGGTTGCGGTAGATCAGACTGGCGGTGGACAGGTCAAACAAGTGGATGTAGCCCAGCTTGGTAATCATGTAGATCACCTCGTACTTCTCAGAAATCTGCATGGCGACGGGGAAGTCGTTGAGACCGGCCTCGGGCGGGTAGAACACGTCGGAGGATTTCTTGACAAAGTTGGGGCCATCGCCCTTGCTCACCTCGAGCACGAGCACCTTGCTGGCAGCGGGGGTGCGACTTGAGATAGCAAAGAGGATGGAGGGACGGGTGGCGCCTGGCACAGTGTAGTTTGCAAAGCAGGCGGCGTGGCCCTCGATCGACTGCGAGATGGACTTCTCAACCGAGTAAAGCTGGATGCGACCGGCAACGCGACCCTCCACCTGGTGGATGGCCACCAGAACCAGCCACTGCTGCGTGGAGTCCGAGCGGTAGTTGATGATCTGAGTGTTGACAAGGTCGGGGTGGCGGTCAAACATCTTGACGGGCTCGCCTGTGCCCTCCTTCGACCAGTGATAGACTGCGCTTGGTGTCACCAGTGCCAGCGTATTCGATGAGATCCACTTCCAAAACTCAAGGTTCTCTGGCATCTGATGTGACTTTAGCTTCATCTTTTGTTCAATGCTGATAAGCTGTATCAAGTTGCCGACTGTTTATCGATGGATTGATTGATTGATTGAGCGAGCGTGAAAGAGTTAGAGATTGTGAATGGGCAAATCAGTGAGCGACGAGGATGATTCATACCCTTCAAGGCCAGAATTGGTTCCTTTGGGTTCATGATAGCAGCCTCAGCATCGATTTGCTTTCTCAGGAGCTGCGAAGGGTTGTCAGTGTCGATGATAACGACATTGTTGCCACCGTTTGGTGCTGTCTCTCTAATACAGATATACTTCTCACTCTCCATTGTGAGTGTGGCAAAGCCAATTGCCTGGGCGCCAATGCCCAAGTTGGACAGCTACATATGTCATGTGATGTTCAATCGACCGAATGAAGTGATTGAATGAACGCATGTTAGCTATGTTTGTTTTTATGTTTTTTTTTTTGATTGCAACGTGGTCATTGTCATCATGAAGTTGAAGTAGTTCTTACCTGCAAGACCTCCTTGAATACAATTGGTAGGTTGGCCATTGTTGTTGTCTGATCTGATCTGATCTGGTCTGATTGAATTATATAACTACAATACAAAACTAGTTGTTCTATTGTAATGTGTAGTTTAATATACAAAATGAGTGATGATCAGATGTTCCTCTTCTTCTTTAAAAAGATTCTGAATATCTCTAATCAACAACAATAATATATATATATATATATATATATATATTTATAAAGAGAGAAGAGAAGAAATATATATAAGTGTAATAAAATGTAAATGTAAAGAAGGAGGTGAATGAATGGATGAAGGAATGAAAAAAGGAGAGACTTTGTGTTTGTGTGTGGTGTGATGATCATCATTCATCCATTTAATCAATAAATTAAAATAATTATTAAAAATGAATGAGTGAGGTTTTGTTTTTTTGAAATCCTTTGGGGATATTGTGCACAATATGAGTTCATTGACCAACTATTGACCTAACAACAACTAGGGAATTGGACTTGGTTTGTTGAAACTATTAAAAGATAAATCATTACAATCGAGTTGCAATACATTCAATCTCGTTCATTCATCTCACATCCGAGAACAGATACCAACATATTGAGGTTTCAGTTGTTCCTTCATTCGGTGAAGGACATCCAGGAACTGAGGAGTGGTACACAACTAGTTGAGTTTCTCGACTAACTCGATGTGATGGCAACTAATGCTTCAATGTACAGTACTACTGTTCATATGAACCTGGTATTGGTAAAGGCAACAAAAAAAAAACCTTCAAAAAAGAATCGTTTTCAAAGAGGTTGAGCTCAAATAATATCTTTTTGGGACCTTAGCCTTACCAAATAGTGCATGATTGTTAGTTTAACATATATTTTAGTACATATACTTTTACATATATATATTAGTAGTAGAAGCAAACAACAATAATGGAATCGTTTGAAAGATTCTCTATGGATGTTGACCATGCATTGTCAGATGAGAGCAATCAGGTGACAAAGACAGCGGTCGAGCAGGAACATGTTGAAGAACCAAAGAAGGATCCGTTATATCCAGACTACAACAAGGAGTTCCATAAGCTATTCTTCTCAGTCACTCAATACAACAAGACTCCAATCGAGATACTAAAGAATAATGCCTTCTCTGGTGAGTTGGCTTCATCCCCATTGCGTGGTCTAGCATGGCGTGTATGTTCATTTATGGATTGATTGATTGATTGATGAGGCTGACACTTGTTCACTACATTACACATAGTTGTTCTTGGGCTGCCTTGATGTCAACAGCATTGAACGTTGGCAACGCATTATTATAGATCAGCGCAATGAATATACCAAGTTACTGGAGGATCACTATGTCGATCCAAGGAATACCACCATCTATGATCCATTATCCAATGATGAGAATGTATGCATTTAGTTGTGACATGTCCACATACACAACCTTCGCCATGCCCCGTCTAACAGTTGCACGCACTGTACAACATAGTCACCTTGGAACAGATACTTTAGAAACATGGAGTTACAAAAGACAATATCATTGGATATAGAGAGGACTTACCAGGACAGGGAGCTGTTCCAAAGGAGTACAACCAAGGAAATTATGCTTAGGATACTGTTCATTTACTCAAAGACCAATAACTTGGTGTCGTACAGACAGGGCATGCACGAGTTGTTGGCACCAATCATTTACCTGTTGCATCAAGAGGTCACCGACTACAAGAAGAACGAAGAGAGCATTGCCCTACACGATAAGCAACAGGCATTGGTCGACACCATCTACGACAAGCAGTACATGGAGCATGATGCCTATATGCTATTCCATGCATTGATGAAGTATGCTTCCAACTGGTTCGGCGTAACGTCCACAGGCAACGCGTTGGCACCCTTTACATCATCTTCATCGTCCTCCACGTCACAATCTCCTCAATCACTCCAAGCTCAGACAAAGCAAGCGCCCAAGCTCACATTCTCTGTAAGTCCATCTTCATCAACTCAGCTCCTTGTGATGAATAATAGATCACGCACTTACTTACCCTGTTCATCATCCAAAGTTGGACCAAGAGACACAGAGTGAGGAGGCCAAAGCAACAGTTGTGAATGAGGCTGTGATCAAGTGTAAAAAGATCAACAAGATATTGAAGAAGCATGACCCTGCCTTGCATTATCATCTCGAGGCCTTGGGAATTGAGCCACAGATTTACTTGCTGTAAGTATGATTGAACAATGCATGTGATGATTGTTCTACATGGACTGACCTCGATCGCACCACGCCATGCTCACATATAGACGCTGGATCAGACTACTTTTTGGAAGAGAGTTCCACTTGGATGATGTGATCACGATGTGGGACTCACTGTTTGCCTATGGAGAAGACCTTATACTCATCGACTATGTCTCTGTCTCCATGTTGACCTACATCAGAGATCAATGTAAGTTTAGCAACACTCACCAATCAATCATTCAACTAACATGACATGTAGTGATCGATAAGGACAATGGAGGCGTACTACAGAGGTTGTTCAAGTATCCACCAGTGGAGGACGTGACATCACTCATTCAACGTGCATTCCGAATCAAGGACACTGTTGGAGATGTTAATAATGACTCATCATCGATTAGCTCAGCATCGATCAGTATTGGCACAGCCTCGGCTCTTGATCAGGAACCAGCAAACAGTCCCTCAAGCATGTTTACACCATTTAACTTTGACCCTCTCAAGCATAACCCAGTAATGCCGTCCTCTGGTCCATCGACAACTGGCGCCGCCGCGCCAAAGACTGCGCCAGCACCCCAACCAACAAGACCAACCATTGTACCAACACCGGTTGCATCGGTGGCCAAGGCCAAGCCACTGCCATCATCCAACCTTACAGCAATCTATGGAGAGTCGTTGTTCTCCATGTCATCGTCATCAACACCATCCACCACCAACTCTCTGACAGCAGAGTCCAAGTTTAGATCGACTAACCTCAGCTCAGGCGACTTGTTTGGAGCGTCCAAGAGCGAGGCTGAGCCTCTGGGATTCTTCACCACGTCGGTGAATCTGAGCACGGCTCGCTCCAACTACTTCAACTCACAGCCCACTGTCCCACCCACCAAGAACTCATTCATCACTTCCAAGTCATCGGTCAACACCGAGATCAAGAAGCTCCGCAACCTCCAACGTTACATCGGTAACTCTTTGGCTGATCTAGTACCAACTCTTCAAGCTGGATTCAGTGATAAGTAAGTTGATCTTATTGATCTTATTGATCTTATTGATTGACTGACACATAACATGTATATATATAGCCCATCATTGAATAGGCATGAACAGTTGTCCAAGGCAGTATCAATGGTCAATCACTTTAAGGACATGCTGCTGGGCGACATTCCTATCCCTGAGAATATTCCAGAGATACCTGAGGCAGAGACAGAGGACCCACTCAGCTCCAAATGAGCAATGTCCATGTTGTTGCCTCTGCCTATATTCCAATCCAATAAAGTAGTACTATTAATAATTGTATTTGATTAATGTTTGTCACCAAGAGGTTGTCTACTCATGTTAAGCATTGGATGTTGTTGTGGAGTGGACGGGTGACTGTGCACAGTACTTGGCATGGAAGTCCTTGATCCTCTCGCCAATCATTGGTTCAATGTCCACTCGGTCTTGAATCTGTTGCTCGGTCTTTCGAATGTATTGTGGCTCTGAGAGGAGGGGAGAGTGGAACACCACCCAGTTCCTATAGTCCGAGAGCAGGTTGCCAATGACCAACTGATGGTGATACGTGCTCAATGAGTTGATACACTTGGAGTCCAGGATATTGATATCAGTCTCCAACTTGAATGAAATGGTATAGGCCTGTGGACACCACAAGCTGATCACCTGCTTCAGCATCTTTGGTACAGGTTCCAACTCAATCCTCAAACCTCCCTTGTTTGATTGTATCTTGTGCTCAGACTTGATTAAATCGATTGAGTGAGGTTAGTAGTTGTCATTGATTGATTGATTGGTTGGCACATTAACGTTACCATTTGATCGAGAGGAATGTAAAAGTCAGAGACGGCAGCAGCGGCATAGACGATGAGATTCTGTTTAAGGATGTTGAGCTCGATTGTGGACGCACGTAGATAGTAGAGGTATTCGCCAACAGTTTCAAAGTTGATGGTGACGAAGCGACCAGAGTCAGAGAATGACTTCCACTTCATAAACAGATGGGACACTTGTGATTTGTAAGTGTCACTGATTCTCGCACAGTGATTCTCGACATCATAGCATAGATAGGTGAATATAGTAGTGTCCTTTGTCATAAAGTGTCTAATAAATGGTTGCAACGAGTTCTTCCTCGTCAAGAACAGCACATGATAACCTTGCTCCAGGAAGTACTCTGCCGTGGCTGCTCCACGACCACCTCCACTAAAGTTATCCAGATATCTCACCATGTTCTTCTCCATTGGTACCATCGTACCACCTGACTATTAAACAGATGTATGTGATGTTAGAATTGGTCAATCAATAAATCAATCAGTCAATCAACAACAACATACTGTGATCAATATAGTCTTTGACCTTGACATTGAACATTGTTGTGCAAATGTCTTGATAGTCTGTAAGTTCTGTTCATAATCAGGTGGTACTATCACTGAATTATAGAACCTCTGAACATTCTCTGGTAGTGAATCTAAGCTGTAGTGGTCTTGTGTAGTTGTCATCTTAACAAACAATAACTTAGATAACAATAACCTGCAGGTGCTTTCAATGGATCACCTGATCGGATTTTGCGATCAAAAAAAAAAAGGATTCGCAATAGACCTTTCATTCGAACTGATCATAGTTATAAATACATACATACATATAATTCAAAGTACTAAATCACTTCCTTTGAACAGTACTAACTAATCTAAAGGGTGCATTGTATGAACGCCAACATCAACAACATTAGAAACATTATCATCATCATCAGCAGCAGCAGCACCGCCATCAACAACAGCAACTTGATGAGTGTCATCATCACCTTCCAAGTCCAACAATCCAACATTATCGCAAACGAATAACATTTACTAAATATATTGTATCTCTTTGTGTTCATTCACTTATTCGATACAATATATTGATCAATCAGTTCACCATACATCAAGTCAAATCAATCAAACAATCAGATTCTCCAATGAGCGACATTAGTCGACGATCAACTTTGTTGCTGCTGCTGCTGCTGATTACCAGCATTCTCACATCACTACTTTGCCCCTTGGTCACTGCGAATGCTTCACCAAGCTCATCATCATCCTATTTGTATGAACTTCCATCAACCTCAACCAACACAACATCCACAACAACACATGGACAGAAGTTGGAGCAACTATTCTCATCGACATCATCAGTTGAGGATGGATGTGATCCTGCATTGGGATGTCAACAGAATGCCAGTATAATCATTTTGGTATTCTTGATGGTACTTCTACTATCAATTCTCGTGGTCTATTTAGTGATCAAACTGCATCTACGCTACCTTCCAGAGTCACTGGCCGTCATACTCTATGGAGTTGTACTAGGATGCATTGTACGATTCCTCTTTGGCAATAGCAACGACATTGTCAAGCATGTCTCAACCTACAACCCCGAACTATTCTTTCTGTTCCTACTCCCATGTATCATCTTTGAGACTGGATTCTCTTTAACAAAGGTATATATCATCATGTTCAATCAATATTTGGAACTATCCCTCTAACGCACCATCACTTCAGTCCGAGTTCTTTTCCAACTTTATGCCAATACTCATGCTGGCAACGATTGGTACACTCATATCATTCTTTGGTACAGCGTTTGGACTTCAACTGGTCGGCAAACTTGGAATCTCAATGAATCTCCCTTGGAAAGATACGTTCATGTATGTATATCCAATCACAGGGCATATGATCATTCAATCACATGACCACTTGCTCATACTCTATATTGACAATATATATATAGCTTCTCTTCAATTGCCTGTGCAACAGATCCAGTAGCAACGTTGGCAATATTCAAGGCATTGGATGTTGACCTTAAGCTGTATCTTATTGTATTGGGGGAGAGTATACTCAATGATGCAGTGTCGGTGATATTGTTCAAGTCTGTGATTGGATACTCACTCAATCAACTTTGGATACCTGCACTACTATTCATTGGCTCGAGCATTGGCAGCCTTGTACTTGGTGTAGCAGTTGCACTCACATTATCCCTGCTACTGAAATGGTTGAACATCAACAGGTATCCTGCGATCGAGTCACTCTTTGTCTTTATCTTTGCCTATATATCCTACTTGTTGGCAGATGCGCTCAACTTTTCTGGTATCCTCTCTGGTATGTTCTTTCATTCCATCTCATTCCAAATGATCAGTAGACTAGGTAGCTAATATTGAACGAACCAATCCATCAAATCACATCACAAATAGCCTTCTTTTGTGGCATTGCATTCCAGAAGTATGGATATAATAGCCTTTCAAATGACTCCAAACACAACACAACACAGATGTTGCGCATGGGAGCATTCGTCTGTGAGACAATCACATTCATTTACATTGGACTGGCACTACCACTTCACTCATTCGCCTTTAGCTACTCATTCTTCTTGTGGAGCATTGTAAGTACCCTTACGAACTGCATTGTTGGTACGCAATCACACTCACTCACAAATCAATCAACGACGAATCAAACATGTAATGTTAGCTATTCCTCATTGCAACAAGAGCATTGGCAGTGTTCCCAATACTTGGACTTCTTAACAAGTTTAGATTCAGCGCCATACCGATGCCGATACAGTTTGTCGTTTTCTTGTCTGGTCTGCGAGGTGCTGTCTCATTCTCTCTGAGCATGTCTGATGAGTTCCACTCAGAGTACCAGGCGTACATCAAGACACAGATGCTCCTATTGGTCTACTTCACTATTATCGTATTTGGATTGAGTACATTCCCTGTTCTCAAGGCACTCAAGATCAAGTCGGCCGAGGACGATATCACAATGGACTTGATTGGCAAGCCCATACACATCGAGACCAACTTCAAGGGTCGCGCCATTGGTTCATTCTTCTCGCGACTAGACGAACGCATTCATCCGTGGTTCACAAAGAACAGCTCGCAGCCACCAAGAGGCGAGCGAGAGGTGGCAAGTGGCGTGGACAACGCATACCAAGACCTCAACGACAGCGACATCATGATTGAGATGGACACAATCATTGAGCAAGCCGATGGTAACAGTCCACGTGGTCAACAACAATCTTCTTCTGATGATGACACCATCGAGTTGATCCCTCATCATCAACACAATCTAGGTGGCCATGATCATGAACTCCATCATCTAGAGCATGACAACTTTAGCTCGAGCACCCTAACCTCTTCCCTCCCCTCCAGCTCATTGTCCAACAAGGACAACATGCAGCAGATGCTTCGACAAAGTCTAAACATGCAAACATATTCACCTGCGGCACCATCACCCACCTCTTCTTCGCTTCGATCCTCATTGATCGCGGCTCCAACACTGTCATCATCATTTGAAGCACTTCATCAATCTATCCATAACATACGTAGTTCAAGAGAGATGCCAGAAGTCAATGACACCACTCACTCCTGAGTCGATAACTCAATCAATCAAATCAATCAATTCAATAACATACACTATATATACTATATTTATTAGGTGTTGGTCACATTATGGATACATCTAGGCAGCTCTTGAATGATAACTGCTTACTGGTGCGTAGACTTGAGTATTTGTGGTGGTGGTGGACACAGCAGTGTTTGTACGACAGGTGTTGATGACAACGGGTACTCGGTTGGCTACGATGATTTGCTTCTCGGCTCTTTCATGTGCTCTATATATCATCTGCTCAAAGGTGGTTCGACTCTTATCGAATGCCCTTCCCTCACGGATCATTTCCTCATTGTTTACCAGGCGTCCAAACATCTCCTTCATCTTTCCTTTCAGTAATTCCTGTAGCTTTGTTGACTTGACTGGTCTAGGTTCCAGAATATCGGTTATGTCAGCGGGTAGTTCAACAACATCTTGTGCGTGTATTAATATTCTATTACTATTATTATTAGTTGGTTGTTGATTTAATTGATTGGAAATGTTGTCTAATGGTCTAGTGGCCGCTCTATCACTATTGTTTATGGTGTTCATCTCTAATGATGATGATGACCCAGAGTATGAGTTTCTCCATTTCCTTGTTATACAAGACATATCTATATTTTAAACTTTAAATTTATAATAGAATGAATGAATGATGGATTGGAACAATAATTATAGTTGAATTAATATTTTTTAATATATATCTTTATCACTAGGACTACTAATATTTGTTAGATTGATGACTAATGAAGTTGGATGTTGATTGCTGTATATACACCCACTGGTGAATGAATAAATGTATGAATCAAGATGATACTCTGAAATCAATAGTCAGACTATGTAGAGTTGCACTACTATCTCAATCACTCACACTAGCACGACATCAACAAGACAGACAGACAGTGGACATTACTTCAGTCTTTGGACACCCAACTTCTCCCCCACTTCACCCCCTTTCTCACTCCGAATCCTATTTACACCACACCATCATGTATGTGTGTTATTGTGAGGGTGGTGGATGAATCAGTCGTCTGCTTCATCAACATCATCATCATCAATAAACTTACCCCATCGGATTATTAATTAAGATTGGATCGGAAATTATATTATTTATAACTACACACATTTACCTTATTTGGAAAATTTGTGATTATTGAGTGAGCGATACGGGGATGATCTTTATCACCCATTCATTTTAAAGAACATCTTCTATTAGAATACATATCTTTATAAATAATGGAAACACCTTTCAAAGCTGTTGGCAAGTTGGTTGACATAGTGAATGGAATGGCCAAGTCCCGTGCCTTATACACCGTAGCACAACTCAATGTTGCAAACTGTATCGAGCCCAATGGAAGAATGTCCTCTGATCAGATTGCAAAACAGGTGCACTGTGATCCCAGCATACTCTATCGATTAATGCGCGCTCTGTCACAAGTCGGAGTGTTCAGGGAGTGTGAAGACGATGAGAGTGGGGCAAGCCACATGTTTGAGCACACAGAGGAGTCGATAGCAATGCGAAACGAGAACTTTGGCAACTTTGTGCTGGCTACGGGACTGCCAACCGTGTTCAAGACATGGGAGTTGTTCCCAGAGGTCGTTACAAAGAGCGATCTATCGACAGGCAGCGGCAACACAATCTCAAACAAGTTCTTTGAGGAGTTGGAGCAGCGACAAGAGGAAGCACTTGTGTTTGGTAAGGGAATGACAGCCATCACCTACAAGATAGCACCATTGTTGGTGGCCCAATCAGACTACAGCCAGTTTGATACAGTGGTTGATGTCGGAGGATCAGAAGGCATTCTGCTGAGCGAGATACTCAAGGTCAACAAGAACATCAAGCTGGGCATCAACTTTGACCTGCCACGACTAATTGAGAAATTCCAAACGTCGATGCCAGAGCGCACAGCTCAACTCAATGCTCGATTCAAGGACGTCAGTGGATCATTCTTTGAATCAGTCCCAACAGGTGATTGTTTTATACTCAAGAGTATCCTACACGATTGGAGTGATCAATGTGCCAAAGACATACTCTGCACTGTTGTACGTTCAATGAAGCCATCGTCCAAGATCTATCTCTACGAATTCCTCGTCAACAATGAGAAGAATGAGAAACAGTCACCGGTAGTATGGATGGACATAAGTATGTATTGTGATGCATCGTCATCAGTCAGGTTATTCCCTTACTCACTCATTCATTCATTCAATAGGGATGCTCAATTATAATGATGGCAAGGAGAGGACATTGAAGGAGTACCAATCATTGGCAACAGAGTGTGGATTGGAAGTTGAGCGTGTTGTGTCAATGGAGATGTTACCATCATTGATTATATTGGTAAAGGCAACTGCAACCACATCTTGATCATCTTACAATCGTGTAGGTTATTTAAAAACGTTTATATGACATCTTCTCACTTATGAGGCCATTGAGACAGTCATAGAAAGAAATGGTCCCTTCCTCCTGGTCAACATTGTTGGAGAATAAACTGGCACTTGATGGCGATTTCGATTCTTTCAAAGAGTTGGTCGATCATCACTTCACATCCAATCGCTTCTCATTGTTTCAAGTCTCGCAATCTCTTTGGTCACTCGAACCACGAAGTTACTTTGTGTTTATTAGTTCATTGAGGCGTACTCCAAGCTCTGTTGACAGTGCTAGATCATAGTTGGTGTGGCAGCCTTGAATTTGAACCTGCAAGATTAAGGCGCGCACTTTTGTCAATGTTAATTATCAATTGGGTTTCAACACAAATATATATCATTGATGTTATCAGATCTCTCCACTTATTTACTAAAAACGATCGTCTCCAAGTTGGAGGACAACGCCGACTTAATCTTGTTGTCGCTGACCTGTCGTCGTCTGTTCAATGAGAGACAACATTATCTCATCTTCTCGAAAAAGGACATTCGATTGGATTACACTGTGCTTGCCTTGCAGTCATCCCAATGCAATAGATTCGTATTAAAGTCATACAAGGAGCTGCTCATTCAATCACTGGCGCACTTTGGAGGAACTTGTTATGTGGCTCATCGCATCATCCCTGGACCCATCCCACCACACACCAAGCATCTCTGGATTGCCAATCCTCAGTTCCAATTGGATCACTCCAACATCCCCGGGGATGGTGTCGAGTGTCTCACATTCGGATCGGTTAATGATAAGACCATCGAGTCTGACAGTGATGTCTCTTTCACCTATAATATCACTGATGGAACCATTCCATCATCGGTCACAGAGCTACACTTTGATGATGGAATCGAAGAACTCAACACTGGTGTGATCCCTTCATCAGTAACAAAGCTCTCAATCACTGGACAGTACTCAATTGGTGTGAACATCAGTTCTGGCGCCATCCCAAACTCTGTCACTGATCTCCATCTAAAACATTGCGGTGATCTTAAGTTGGACAAATGTTTCCTTCCAAGTTCAGTTGTGAATCTCTGCATCGACCCTGGACGGGATGTTGAATGCAGACTCTTTCCTGGATACATTCCATCGTCGGTGCGATCACTCACCTTTGGCAAAGGATTCAACGAGAAGATTACTCCCAAAGACTTGCCTCAAAGCCTCACCTATCTTCATCTTGGAGAGAGCTTCAAAAAGCCGCTCTGTGTTGGCTCAATACCCTCATCGGTCCACACTCTCCACTTAGAGAGTTACGATCATCCTTTTGACAAGATGGACTTCTGCCCTCATCCTTGACCAAGCTCACATTTGGGCGGGGCTTCTCGAATCGCCTTCCACCAGCCTCAACCTTGCCATGTTTGCGCCAACTCAGAGATTTAGAGTTGGATGACAGACGCTCACTCTCTCAATTCATCATCCATGGCAGAACTCATCTGTTTGCCCAACGATTTGGAGAGTTGATTGCCATCATTGACGAGAAAGTGCCACTCAACAAACAACCTACACAACCTGTCCAACCAAAAACAACAACAATAGCACCAACAACAACCATCAATCAGAATGCTCCATCGTCGATTGTTCAGAGGATGGGTCGACAGAATCCAGGGCTATGAAGATAAGCATCGCAATACTCCAGAACAGGACAGTGAACCATTGCGTCGTCTGTTGACATTGGCCGCCAAGCACAAGAATCGTCAGATCACTCATCTTATTCTGGAGTACAACCGAAACAAAGGAGAAGTGTTTCACAATCTTCTGAAGTATGAGGCCATTGAGACTGCCATCAAGAGCAAAGATACAGAGTTTCTCTCCTTCCTCCTGGCCAACAGCTATAGTGGAGGTCCACAGGATTCAAAGCATCACATCAACATTAAAGAGATAGAATGGTCCCTGGTGGATGACTTCCAACTCTTCAAGGTCATCATGAAGCATGTGCACCAATTCCATTGCTCGCGCGATACCATCAGATGGGAGAAGAATCCATCTCTCATCAAGTCGATTGGATCAGTGTGCGATGCACAGGAGTTCATCACCTGGATTGGCGTGCTTGCTGACTGCATTCAAGACTACCAGATACGCCAAATACTCAGCTCCACCTTGCACCAATACTTTAGCCTGGAGATGCTCGAAAACATGCACCGGACATTCCCACAGGTCATTCGAGATGTTGATTGGCTTTCAACTACCATCTGCTCCTCCATCGAGAACTACCTCATCTATCTCGAGTTCAAAGCAGGAAAGTCTGACATTTTTGACAGCTCCACCTGCTTTATCGAGGCTGCCGCTCTCAATGGCAACCTGGAGCTGCTTCAACTGATACATTCCCATTGCATTGACACTGGACTGCCATTCGCAATTGGTTCGATTTCCATTGGCATCGCAGTGGAACATGGAGGGTGCATAGAGGTCGTCTCGTTCCTATTGGATCACTTGGACAACGAGGTTAAAGTGTACATAGTGGGCTCCATCCACCCATCGATTCAGTCTGATACTCTACTTCAACAACTTGTCACCCGTCCAAACATCACTTTCAGCAGATCGACACTCGAGAGCTTGCTTCTCTCCAGCAACTTTGAGATGTTTAAGGCAGTGGAGCGTCTGATGCATCAGCGGCAACAGGTGATGTCGAAATCTGACTATGAACAGCTCCTCAATCAGAGGTTGGCAAGGTGGCCACTCTGATCGTTCAATCAATCTTGCACGACCATCCAGATTTATTTATCACACAGGAGTACAACTTTAGATACCTACTCCACTGTGATGTGCGATCAGCGATTATTGGCTTGATTCCACGACACGAACTTCCATTTACTCTCAGTATACTGTGGACATGCATCAGTGATCTCAACAGAATCAAAGAAGCCAACATCCGTCTCGATTTATTTCAACAGCTTCTGGACAGTGACATCATCGCACCTCGCTATCTCACACCTCACAACAAATTAATCGTGGAGGTGTCCACGCATACAACTCCTGTGGGAGATTCATCGACTTAGAGTCGAATTCATTTTTGTGCGGCAGGTTTGGCAACTGAGTGTGCGGGCCGCAATGACCAGTTGTATGAGCGATAAGATTATTCTTGCATTTATTTGAATTATTTTGTATTGAGTGTGTTGTTGATGAGATCAAAGTCTGAACAGTGTGTTCCATTTGGCATCGTGATGAACATTGATTACAGATATATATATGGTAATACTCTTCTTCAGTATCCTTCTCTTCTTTGTTACTCTTCCAGAGGCAGTAGATATGTGACCACAACTCTCGTCAACAATGCGACCAGTGTAGTACTTGGAGTCATAGAACACCAGCACAACCATTCCTAAGCAAACGTCATCGTCTTGTGTCAGCTGTATCTTGTTGATTGGCCGCAGTCTCTCAACTCGAACGAGTTCAGTTTCTTCAGACGTACGATACTTCCTATGGTTGTACTTGACGACGTAGTTGGGATAGTGATCATAGACGATGACGCCCTCCCACCATGTATCCTTGTCTCCTTCATGGTTCGTCTGAGCGAGCACCTTCATGCCAGCTTGGAACAGATTCAGAACATTCAGATCTTGGTCGTCCTGCACCTGTTGCATACACTCGTCATGCTCCTCTGGCAATCGTTTGTCGACATCATCCAATAGGTGGGTAGCAATGTTAATGCTACCA